CAATCAGTAACAACTATTTTTACCAATTACTTTGAAGGTATTCCTCTCGGACTTCACCAATGCACTGATATTATAGCTTTCAACCTATATCTCTATGAGGTATCCAGACCAGTGAAAGTGATAAATGATGTCTTCAAAGTATATGGACAAACAAATCTCTTTGTTTCAAGTGGATTCCCGTATCATTCAAGTTGACGTGTTCTGAATGGTTCATCTTTGAATCCATTCCACTTTAACACTTCAGAGTGATCAACCCATCGAGAATTAACAACTTAGAAAATACGGACAACAAATCTCTTTGTTAGCAACTCTCTCAAGTCTACTTCCCATATCATCCAAGTTGACGTGCAAACATCGGCTCAGCTTAGAGTCCAAGGCACTTTAACACTTTCAAAGTGATCAACTCGTCAAGAAGTGTCATTGGTTTTATAAACCTTGAAATTAAAAAGTAAAACACTGTTGTTACATGAAAGGTCTTTTCACACTTTAACACTTTCAGAGGGTAAAATGGTCTTTTCACACCTTCCTAGTTCCAAAGCAACTAAATAGTACAAATTACAAACTACTAATTAGAAAGGAACTACATTAAGTCCTGTTAAACATCAACTACTCAGTTCAAAATACAGCTAAATCAGCTTTAGAAGGCTTTCATTAGTCATCCCAAGGTCATGTCAATTACTCCAAGTCTCATCCATCTTTCTGTCAATCATCAGGTCTTGCTACCACATTTCCATAGCATCCGCTTGCTCTAATCTGTCCAAAACAAGATCAATTTAGACCAAAATCCACTAAACATAGGTTCAACATTCACTTCAGCTTAAAAGCAGAGAAAAGAGATAAAATGACTCAAAGTTGGGATATGAAAGCAAAATAACCTATTTAAAAGAGAATAAAAAGGTACTTCACGTACTAAATACTTAGTATGTATCAGACACCATGACATCAATCTCTTAAAGTTAATGGGATGATTCAAATCTACGTAATTGCAAATTTACGTAATTACAATTATTTACATCCTCCAATAGTTTCATTCGAAGAATTTCTTTATCATTTTCAAGATCAAAATCCATTGATCGACCAACAAAGGCACCCTTCAAATCAAACCCCGATAATTTAACGTCTTTTGATTGAAACCCATATAATCCTAAAATACAAACGAAGTAGAAGTTAGTAACCCTAAAAACTTCATCGTTCAAATGAAAATGGTACCGTTTTACGAGAAAGCAAGAACACATGAAACAGTCGACCATCACATGTGATATTGTAGAGGGACGTAATAGTGTGTACCAAATTGGTCCGTGACTTGTTCATCATGTGTGTATCACCAATTTATCACATGTGATGATTGCCTATTTTAGTGTTCTCGTAAAATGGTACCATCTTCGTTTGATCCCTTGTCGTTGTTAGTGAATGCCCAAAAACCAATCATATGATGATTGTAACTTTGAGTTTGTTTCATGAAATTGATAAATATAAAGGCATTGCCCATTTTATTATGTCTATATTATATTTTTTGTTTTAATTATTCATAATAAATAACCTTAGAATAATGTATTCTAAATGTCCCTAGTTAAATATTATTTCGGGTTTAAGGTTGAAGTAATATGATAATGACTAGCATATGTAAGGGATTCATATAGAGATATCGAATATGCATATGGGTACAAAATGGAGACTTTGTGTATCGGATGTGACTCGTTATGAGAACACTTCATTGGATGTCATGTGAGTGTCATAAGTGTTTCTCATATGGTCAATGTACATGTAA